TATTAACATAAGATAACACTAAAGGTTGAAATTGTTTGTTTAATTCATTAATACTATATTCTCCTTTTTTTATTTCTATAAATTTATCATTAATTTGTATTTTACAATCTGTTTCAATATTAAACCAATTTAACCCTTTAATAAATATTGAATCCAGACCTATTTTATAATTATTATTATTATAATATTTGTTTGATAAATAAATACAACCGTTTTTAAATCCAACTCGTTAAAAACAATAAGTAACAAGTTATTTTTGTAGTTTTTTGTTCATTCCCATAATCCAAGTATTCCGTAACACTGCTGATCATAAACTGTATTCATAATTAATTAATAGGCAATGAATATTAAGTATTTTAAATTTTATGATAGTGACATGTTTCCTGTTATTTTATTTCTCATCAATTAATTATATTAGTTGTACCTATTACTTGTAGTACATGTTAACCACGATACCTATTATTTATTAATGACCAACACAAATATGACATATTGTTAGTATAATTCTCATTTCGCTATACATTCTGTGCTTTAATTACTTTACTTGACTTTATTTTTAACATACAAAACAAAACAACACCACTGATTGCATTTAGTTGGTTATTTTTTTAACATGTTTGCTAACCTCTTGTGGTTGACAATGCTTGTGATGGTGGTGAGGAGTACTTTTAAGAGGAAACATACATATTAGGTTAAGTTCAGACTAGTGTAGAATAGAAAAAAAAAACATTGAAAATATATGAGATCAAACTTACATTTTAAAAGATTTAACAACTCTTAAAAATGTTAATTAAAAGTAAGGAGCATAATATGTGAAACTATAGATGAAGCCAGTCAGGTCTATAAAATCTCTAGTTTTGTCTATGGTGTCGTGTATTATTTCAACAATAAAATAAAAATAAATATCTAGTCAGGGCTTGGTCACAATGACAACTATTCCTAACCTGTTATGTTTACATAATATTACATATAATTTTTTTTTTATGGGTTATTTAAAAAATTTTTTTTCAGATTTCTTGTAATTCAGTGGCAGGTCAGTTGTGGTTTTGTTGTACTTCATTAAGGTAATTTTGGTTATCATTTTAGATTCTGAGTGAAACGATGAATGTATTGATTTTACAATGATGTGTGTTTTTATATTTATTTTTTTTGTGTCTGTGTACACGATAAGTAGTCGAAATAATGCTTCGATTTTCGACTTCAGTATCTTGTTCGATTGGAAAGTGAATATCGTTGGTGCATTGGGGAGGTCAAAATTTAAATTTCCCAGTAGTTTTCAAGACAACATAAAAATTAAGAAAAACGGGAATTTTTACGCAAAATCGGTTTTCCAAAAAATCGATTCTGGTTTTTGGTGTAACTTTAAAACAAATGACCGTAGATACATGAAATTTTCACTGGTTGTTTATATTTGCATCTTCTATACACGATAACATTTTCAAAATATTTTGATTTATTTTGAACAGTTTAGGGACATCTTCATTTTTCGTTTTTTTTTAGTTTTTTTTCTAGAAATATCAATAAAATTTTATTTGTTGGTTGCGAAAGCTTGAAAATTTAATAGAAGGCTCCTAATATATTGTTTCAAAGGCAGATGAAAAATATTAAAAATCCTTAGTCACAATTTTTTTTTATAAGCATTTAAAGTTCAAAAATTGACAAAATATGGAAAAATCACGAAAATTAGCAAATTATTTTGAGTTAAGAATTCGTAAAAATTTTTCTTTTTAAATCTAAGATTTGAAAATCTAATACAAGATTACTCATAAGATTGTCTACCTTTATCAATAAAAAAATCTCTACCGGAAAGTCAAATTAAATTTTTATGAGCGTTTGAAATTCAAATTTTTACAACATTGGATATTCACTCGATTTCTCATGTGGCAATTTCCTTTTTTTGTTGTAATTAAAAAACGAATTACTGTAAATACATGAAAATTTCACTGAATGTTTATATTAGCATTTCCTATACACCATACAATTTTGAAAATATTTTGACTCTTTTTGAGCCGTTTACTGACAATTTCAGTTTTCAATTTTTTTAGTTTTTTTTTTCTATAAATATCAATTAAGTTTTATCTGTTGGGCCAAAAAGTGTAAAAATTTAATACAAGGCTCCTGATATATTGTTACAATATCAGTTGAAAAATATTAAAAATACATAGGCACAATTTTTTTTTATAAGCATTTTAACATCGAATTTTGACAGAATTTTTCAAAATCTCGAAAATTATTAATCATCGTAATTAATAAATTATAAAATGTTCAGTTTTTATAGCTAAGGATTGAAAATTTAAAACAAGATTCTACGTAAGTAGTTAATTCTCTTACCGAAAAATCTAAAAAAATTTCAATGTAACTGTAAAAGGATTAAGTCTATGTACCACAAGACCAGCTACGTATAATAGGTAAGAACTACAGTTTTTTTCTGACTAACCTAATTTCATCACCATCATAGAAGCACAAATTATCAATATAAAAACTTCTATGATAATCGAGTACCATGTTACTTTTTTTGCATAATGAAGTATCTGAAATAAATAATTTATAGGATATATTACAACTGAAATGAATAACTCTTATATTATTAGGTAGGTTTTTAATTTTATTTTTTTTAAACACTATTAGAATATTTCCTACCCTTAGGGCTGGGATATTAAATAGTCATGAAATGGGCTGGGATTTCCACACTCTCCATGCAACTGCTGTGTTTTTTCCTATAACATAATTTAATATTATTAATATTATAGTTATATTAAATAATAAATATATTCATATTTAGTAGTTTTGTATGTTTAGGTAGATTATTTATGATAGAGGCCTATTTAATTAGTTAATATGATGATGATAGAATTCTAGTGTTAACACACATCAAACAAATAATTATATTAATAATCATGGATTTCTTTCCCAATAAAAATTGTTTATTAAAATTGATTACGAGTGTCAACATTAACTTGGTTCTACTTTCACCTGTTAAAATTAAAAATATTATTAATAACATGTTTACTTTATTTGTGATAAATACTACTTTTTGTCCTTTTTGTAGGTACCTATGTATAATTGTTATACCTTTTCTGTTTGACGTGTGTCTAAATCTTAGATATAGACTTGATTGATACCTTTTTTGTACTTTTGAAATTGCAATCGTTGGTATCTCGAGTAATTGCCGACACTCGCGACGAAATAATATAAAATATCAAAATACTGGTTTTTTTGTATACCTGCTTATCTATAAGTTAGTTATCTACACTAACTCGTCGAGTACATATTTTTTTTTTCAATTTAGGATGACATTGTGTCTAGTTGTTGACGTGAAAGGTTGACATCAATTTTGGTATACCCATCGCCTATCGGTTATATCGAAAACATCGTGTTCCAAGTGTATTATACTTAATTTTTGTGCATCAAATTCTACGTGTCCCTAAGTCCCTGGTGAGTAACAGCTTAAATTTATAACCTTAATAGTACCTAGGTGTTTAACGCTTGTGACAATCTTACACAAAGATCGAATTAATGTGTACAAATTAATTTATGTTCAAACTTTGAAGTATATACCTACCTATTGAATACAATTTACTTTTATATTTATACCTATTATAGTTTTCAAACATTAACAATAATATTTTGTTTTATACTATGTATCTATAATGTATCTATAATTATGTAAAAATGTAATTCCTGAAATAAAATATTACGTTTCCTAATAATATATGTTGACGATAATGTAAAATATCTTAATAATAATAATAATTGTACATTTGTGATTAAATTTAAACTTAACTTTAACTTTTTAACTCGTTTATGCCCAGGCTTAAATATACTGCTGTTCAATATTGTTCGATATTTTGACAGTTGATATTTTTTATTAAATTAGACGTAATCGATCTCTTCTCTATTTTTATTAGTAGAACACAACAATAATATTATATCCAACACGTGTTTGTATTATACTATTTTTCGATGCGATGTCAGTCAATTTATCTGCTGGTAAATTCCAACAATTCAAATTGAAAGTGTGGTGCCATAGGCGCAAATAGGATTGGGGCTAGGAGGCTTTAGCCACCCTTATAGTTTCTACAGCCCCCCCAAAAACTAATGATTTCACTAGTATAATATTTAAAAGCATCATTAGAGTTTCAACTTTCAAGTATAGACCTGAGCTTCAGCCCCCCCCCCCAAATTTCAAACACTATTTACGCCAATGTGTGGCGCAGATTACATATTATTCCATTTCGTTTTCCGTCGTGGCGCAAATTACCAAAATAATTTTTTAGAGGTGGCGCAAAGTACATGTTTAATTTTTATATTTTGGCGCAAATTCTATACGCGCTTAAATGTACCTATTGGTAGCCCAAATTACAAGTAATTAAATTGGCGCTAAATACCATCGCCCCTCTATCCAGTGTCCACTGAAAAATAATTTTAATCATAAAATATTGCAGTTGTATTTTGTGAAAAAAAATATAATATAGACAGTATTCTTATTGAAATGGTTTCGAAAACAAATTGGGCGATTTTGTTATTCTTATAGCGTTTTCCACCGGTCTGCACTGACTGCACCAGTGCACATTTTTATGTTCCACCGGCAAGATTAATGTGCACCGAGTGGACTATTTTATGTTTCACGTCAATGCACTACGCCAGTTTTTTGCACCGAGTGCAATGATAATCGCACGAGCCTTTTGAGGCGGTGTTTCTTATCAACCAGATTATTTTATGATAATATTAAATGATAAGACGTGTTAACGAGTTTATTTTGGTAGTTGATGTACACAGTACACACTATAATGTGCATACACATGAATCATAGTTTACTTTTTAGTTTTTTCTGTCATAAAGTTATAACCACACTACCACAGAGACAGAAAAGATTCATTTTTCATTCTAATTCACAGAATAGATTAATTATTAGATTTAATCTATTCTGTGTTATAACTTTATTATTACTTTTTAAGTTATAACTTAAGAAAAATTATAAAGTGCAGTGTTACATCAATATGGATGAACCAAAAATTATAGCTCTTATGGAATACCTTTCGTCAAGTGACAGTGAAGAAGATATTGAAATCATTGAACACATATTATCAAAAAAAAAAAATATAATTCCGAAGATAAATAATTATATAACGGATGTTGTTCATGCGTATACAGATCCACAGGTTTGTATAATATTGAATATTAATTTACTTACACATTTATTAGACTACAATTGAAAAATTCAAATAGTTAAAAATGTGCCTATCTATTTAAACATCTTAAAATGTTGTTCATCACTAATTAGCTAGGTACTTATCTAAATATTAATATTCATATATTTTATAATGTAATATATTCATTTTATATTATAGTTTAAAGGCAGCTTTCGAATGGAGAGGTGTACAGCATACTACGTAGTCAAAATGTTCGAGGAGTCAATTTTTTTTTCCAAAAAACAATTTAAGTGATCCTACCATCACATCTGAAAATCATATTCTCTCATTTATATGGTAAAATAAAATATTTTATTGTTCTTCATTACAGTGGCGTATTTAGGATTTGCTCAATAGGGTAGACAATAGGGATGGGAATAAGGAATTATTTTTTGTATTTTTTATAAATAACTAAAAAATAATGTTACAGGTTTTCAGCAAATAAATGTAGCTTACGTGATGTTTCTGAAAGATTTGGAATTGGATTAACTACTCAGTTCCGAATAAACAACCGAGTTATGGACTTTCTTGTTAGTATTTCATCTAAATTTATTAACTTCAATGAGGGAAGCGTTGGTTTATCACAAGAGTTTCAAAAAGTATTTTTATGTTTTTTTTTTAAATGTTTGTCATATATATTTAACATTATCTATAACAATTAGGTGTCTGGGATGCCTGGAGTTATAGGTTGTATTGATGGGTCATCAATACCAATACGGACTCCAGCTCATAAAATAAAAAGCACATATACCAATAGACATGATATACCTTCAATAACTCTACAAGCCATATGTGATTATAAGAAAAGGTTTATTGATGTTTTTACGGGTGCACCTGGAAAAATACATGACGCAAGAGTATTTGCTCTCTCTGATATCAGCAAAGAGCTGCCTTCAATGTGTGGAACAAAATACCATATCATTGGAGATGGAGCTTACAGTATTCGAGAATGGTTATTAGTGCCTTACAAAAATTATGGGAACTTCACTGAATCACAAATTATTTTTAACAAAACATTTTGTGCCACTAGAGTTCTAATTGAAAACACTTTTGGTCTTCTCAAGTCAAGATTTAGATAATTATTACAGCTTGATATACACTATGTAGATAAAATAACAAAATTTATAATTTCATGCTGTGTACTACACAATATGTGCATAAATATGAATGATGAAATTGAACTGGATAATGAAATTGGACCATCTACAGATCCAGAAAATGATTTTATTGATTCTGATTTTAACCAGAGAAAAAATGGAGAATCAAAAAGAGATGCTATTAAAAATTCTCTTCAATATTTTTAATAATTTTATTATATTTGTTCAACTAAAATAAAAGATTTTATTGTTATATTATAAAATGATGAAATATACATACTAAATATTTAATTTTAACAAAGACTACAGATGTTTTTTTGGAATTAATGTATAGTAAAAGCATGTACCTATTATTAAAGGTACGGGTATATTATATTATAATGGTGTATAAAATATATAAAATATGTAAATGTTATAATTGCTATTATAAATAGAAAAATAATATATATAACAAACAATATGACAGATAACTTTTAAGTAGAAAATTTTTATTAATAATGACATGATTAAAACATAAAATATAAAAGCTATTAGAAACTTAAGTATATGAGTAATACTTTATCAAGTAGTTTAACAAAATTAAATATTTATAAAATGAATGACTCTGTACTTAAAGAAATAATAATCTTAGTCTTGAAATTTAAATGTAAATGGTTAAAGATATTATAATGGAAAAATGTAAAGAAATTAAATTTATTTATTGAAAAGACTTTTGAGAAGATCCATTTTTTCTTTATGGCGCCGTTCCTTGGCTATCTCTTTTTCTTTTAGGTAATTTAATAGCATTTGTTGAGCAGAATCTGTTTTAGGTTTTTTCGGGAAAGGTTCTGGACTGTTCTTTTTGTTTATTACAAAGGTTTTTGCACTGCGGAGAACTTCAGGCAATATACTATCATCGTGTTTAGTAATATTATTCCACTCATTTTCGTAAGCATCATCCATACGAGATGCACCTGTACTTCGGTTGTTGTCAATAATAATTTTTTTTCTTTTACACACAGTTTTATATCTGTTTTCTACTTGTAAGTAGGTAAACTTAACACTGAACTCTTTTTCAATTTCGTCAGTTAAGTGTTTCCACATTTCAACTTTCCTTTTGAATTTTTTCATCGGTCCTACATAATTCATCCATTTTCCATACTGTTCTAACATGAACTTAGTTATGCCTTCTGTCCAAATACCATAAGAACAGACCGCTTCTTTTATATCTTCACCTAAAAAATATATATAATGTATTGACAGCATTTGTAACAAAGTGAATACCTATTTTTTAACTTTTTAAACGTAGTTTGAAATATACATAAACACAGTGGCACACTTTAAATTCTAAATGGATGAGTCAAAATTAATTTTATGTACAAAGGCACTTATCCTACCTCCTCATACCATTATTTTTATAATTAAATGTCATAATAAACTGCACAATTAATCATTTTTCGTAAATTTTGAACTTCTGAGTGGCTAACCAACCCCACGACCCCCACCCCTCCCGCTCCCTTTTAAAATATTAGAACACCCAAATTTATTACAGGTTATACCGACAACATAATGCATTCATATTCTATTAGGTATTTTACCTATATATTAATCTTAAAAACATAAATTTAGGTTACTTATAATAATATTATATTGTAGCCCATAGGTAATCACAAATATTTTAATATATTATATTAAAAATTTGTCATTAACTACCTACCTACCACTTTGAATTTAAAAGATATTGAAAATAAATTTAATTAAAAATATAAAATACTACCTATATTATACTTTATATTTTGTCTATGCAGTGTGAACTATATTATAATATACTCACTGCTTTCCAAGGATTTGCTATTGCAAGTTTTGTCAAGATTTTCATCCTCTTCGTGATCACTTGAAGAGCTTAAGCAATTCCAATCAATCCTAACCGTTGGTTTTTGAACAGTCAAATCAATGTTTCTAAAATGAAATAAAAGAATATAGGTATGTATACTTCAAGAAATAAGGAACACACTATAATTAGAAATTGAATAGTTATTTTCTAAACATAAAGATAAAAATTTAATAACTTGATTACCTTTCCGGAATCGATATTTGAATTTTTGAACTGCTTAATTCATTCAAATTTATTTCAATGGATCCATCTTCCTTACAACTTTTTAAAAAACTCAACAATGTGGGCAAACATTCCTTTGGATCTGATTTGTAAGAAATGCATTACACAAATAAACAGTTATGAGCAATTGTTACCTACTAAACCAATAAAAGTAAGTCAATATTTTAAGTCAAGACAAAAATGAAAGTTAACAACAAATAGGGAGAGTTGTTTTATTAAAATATTAAGTGAACTTGAGAAAAAAGGCTAACATTCTTATACAAGTACATATTTCTGTATGAGTGTTCACAGAAAAATGTTAAAATATACAATCTACCAAATAGTTTTGTTTTTTTGTTTTTTATTTTTTATATACATATGATTATCATAATTTTAATACCTATATAATATAAATGAATTATGAAAATTTACTTTAAAATTAAATATGTAGTTCCACCTGTACATCAATACATTTTTCATAATGGATATAAAATAAATTGACTATTAATTTACGTAGGTACTTACCAGCTTGCTGAAAATAATCCAACGCCGATTCATCCACAACGAAATAGTAAGGTTCAGATCCTATTTTTATGACTAAATTGTGTCTAGCCATGATTTAAATTCAATGATGTACAATAGTACAGACTAGGTATTAAGAATTTTTAAATTATAAATTAAAATATTTCATACACAAACACAATATCAAAAATATTAAAATTTAAAAATAAATATTTATATAGGTTGGTAGTAGACAACTGACTATAGAAAATAATATAGGCAGTGGTACAAATATTTTATTTATATGTTTGTTATTTTCCTAACCTAACATTAATCAGAATTATGATAAAGAAAAATTTATGTTTCATCTGCTCTTGCATTGTGTTGCACCAGTACGATTATCAGTGAACTATTCCAGTGCACACTTGGTGCAAAAGTGCAGACCGGTGGAAAACGCCATTAATTTGTTTTAATCTTTTAAATTATCAGTATTTTTAAAACTATATTTAGTTATATTGAAGTTTTGACACATCGTGTTTGAACTTAAAAACGAAACATCCTACCTAGATACTTTATACCGTGGATTTCGAATATTATCGTTCATGTAATATTATTACCTACGCGTACCGCATGCGCCCACATAATATAATTACCAGTTGGCTGATATTTATCTATGGACTATAATATAGGTACGTAGTATTGACTGTGAATTATAATATATGTTATAGCCGGTATAATATGTATAGGCCATACTTGGGTACGTAAAATGTACAAGTACAAGTCCTAAATAGTTATATGTAATAATATGTTTACTGTGAATTAATGTACTCTTTCGAACATTGGGTTTTTCTTATTTGCAATATTGTTATCATAACTCATAAGTCATAAGTAATTGCCGACACGCGCAACAAAATAGTACACGATAACAAAATACTGGGTTTTGTATATAATATAATATACTATCATTGATTATAATTAATATACCAGTATTTTGCGGTTACGTACCACCTAGATCCCGCGACAAGTAGATCCACGTACGTCAACTGGATCCCCTTGGACATTTAGAACCTCATAGACATATAGATCCCATACTAACTATAATCTCCTTCGTCATTTAAATACCCAGATTTTGGCGGTAATTTTAAAACTTATAAAAATACGTAAGTACTAATAAATATAGTTTAATTTATTCAACTATGAAGTAGCATTTATAAGTTAAAAATATTTATAAAATATAAACTATAGGAGTAATCGGTAATCCCTACCTTATCGCAATCCAAGTCTGAGCCGCCCAAAATTTGCGACAATTATCATCACACAAACTCCCGAATATTCCGATGCCACCGTAGTGGCTGAAGTAAGGTATAATAATGTGCTCGGTGGACACAATTTGCAAAGGAGCTCCATACCTTAACAAATTGCTTAATATGTATTAATGTGTATTCTGATTTCTGGAGTCTAAACATATTATGTATTATAAATAAAAATTATAACATTTATTTGTAGGTACTAACCAATTTTTAATTTTTTTAATTTTAATAATAATATTAAGTGTTCAAATTCTCAAAATAATATACAATCATTGTATATGAAAACATATGTTTTTTTGGCTTTTATAGGTTAGACCTTAGTGGGCCGATTTTTTAGTATCCCGATAGACATTTTTGACCCAGTCCGGCCCTGTGTGAAGGGCGCGAATCGCCATATATTATATTTGTTTTTGTGTCAAGTTATTTAAACAGGCACAAGTAGCAAGCTTGAGAGTTTTTATACATATTATTATTATTATAGTTTTTACGAGCTTACTGCTCAAACGACGGTATAGCTATACCTATATTTTATTCTGTCTGGCCAGGATGAGGGCCACATATTATTATACGTATCGTACTGTTTTGGCTTACGAGTTACGGTCCGTGCTTAATTATTATTTTATGTGTCGTTTTTTTACTGTAATACAGCAATATTTAAATACCGTTATGTTTTAGTTACCATTTTTTTGAGTTACATTTCTGTTGTTAGTAGTTATTTCAGCACACGCCCGTCACCCACACATATGTACACACACATTTACACACCCACCACACACTAGCCTTACCGAGCAAGTCTTTGATAGTCTTGCTCGGTGAACCCGTCCACTTCGACCGAATTGCGAATACATGTATGCACTCATCATACGCAGGTCTTTGGGGTGTGAGTGCGATACGAAGTATTGTGGATACCAAGGTCTATTGTTGTTCGTTTCCGGCCCAAACGCACTCGTTTTTAATTACCGTGTTTTAGCTACTAAAATTAAGGGTGTCAGAAATTAAAACAATTAGTTACACTTTAGATTCATTTATTAGGCATTAGAAAACATGAGATAAACATTAGGTACAAACAATACAAACAGCAGCTACAACACGTCGCGGAGCACATGAAAGTCGTGCACCGCGGTAGCTATTTTAATTTTAAGCAACAGTAGAACACGTCCCGTCGGCGGAGCACATGACCGCGGTCGTGTGTATAAACAGAAGGAGGCAGAAATACAACTGATTCAGGGCCTCGGCTTGGAGAACCCGAGGAGGTGGCTATCAGCGGGACCACGCTATCAACTGTAAGTATAGAAATTATATATAGGTAGGTACTTGACAAC